GAAAATAGTATGCTAAGTGATATGCCAGATACAGAAAGGCAAATATCATAAAATTATACTTACATGAAATACACAGAATAAACAAATTAATAGATATAGTAGATTTGAGGTTATCAGGGGCTGGGGGAAGTGGTAATGGAGAGTTATTGCTTAATAGGTAAAAAATTTCTGTTTGGAAGACACATGCACACATATGTTCATTGCAGTTTTGTTCACAATAGCAAAGACTTGGAAGAAACCCAAATCACCATCGATGATAGACTGGATAAAGAAAATGTGGCACACATACACCACGGAATACCATGCAGCCAAACAAAATAAGAAGGATGAGTTCATGTCCTATGCAGGGACATGGATGAAGCTGGAAACCATCATTCTCAGCAAACTAACGTAAGAACAGAAAACCAAACATTGCATGTTCTCATTCATAAGTGGGAGTTAAACAATGAGAACACATGGACACAGGGAGAGGAACATCACACACTGGGGCCTGTCAGTGGGTGGAGGGTTAGGGGAGGGATAGCATTAGGAGAAATACCTAATGTAGGTGACAGGTTGATGGGTACAGCAAACCACCATGGCACATATATACCTATGTAACAAACCTGCACATCCTGCACATGTACCCCAGAACTTAAAGTATAATAATAAAAAAGCCTGTTTGGGGTGATGAAAATTTTTAAAAATAATGGTGATGGTGGCATAACATTGTGAATATAATCAATGCCACTGACTTATATGCTTAAAAGTAGTAAAAATGGTAATTTTATGATATATATATCAAATATTTATCTTTTACCACAATAAAACAAATGATAAAGCACACACACATACACACACAACCAGAGAGAAAGTACCGTATGTGCAATGACTAAGAACAAAAGACAATGGCTGTGGATCAAACAATTTGAGGTTAATGCAGGGATCTTTGGAAATGTTATTGATCAATTTATATCTCAGTTTCTTCATCTGCAGAACTAGGATAGAAAGTATAATAGCTAGTTCATGGTGCATTAGTTCATTCTCACATTGTTATAAAGAACTACCTGAGACTTGGTACTTTATAAAGAAAAGAGGCTTAATTGGCTCATAGTTCCATAGGCTATACAAGAAGCATGACTGGGGAGGCCTGAGGAAACTTACACTCATGGCAGAAAGAAGGGGAAGTAGACATGCCCTACACAGCTGGGGTAGGGGGAAGAGCAAGAAGAGGGAGGTGATACACACTTTTAAACAAGCAGACCTCATGAGAACTTAACTATCATGAGAACAGCAAGGGGAATGTCTGCCCCCATGATCCAATAATCTCCTACCAGGCCCCTCCTCAAACACTGGGGATTACAATTTGACATGAGATTTGGGTGGGGGCACAAATCCAAACTGTATCACATGGGTTGGAGGAAAGATAACATTTATATAAAGTACTAATTTAGCATGGTAAACATGGTGGATAACTATTAAATATTAACTGTTGTTACCATTATTACTGAGTTCATTTTCTACTCAGTAATCTCCACTTTACCCCACAGTACTGAAAATTCTACTAATAATTTTTTATATCATTACTTATTTAACTTTGTATGAAATAATTGCTTTTAAATTATATTTTCAAGTGGGAGCTATGTGGTTAAAAACTTTAATTTCAAAGTACAGGCCAAAAGCTTTAGAAAATAAGATAAGAAAAATTAAGAATAATATGGAAATCTTAAGAACTCTGCATGACATTGTGTTGCGTCTGGGATGCCAAGCCATGACAGTGCAAAAATGAATCCTGCCCGTCCACAACCAACAATTGCATAGAAAGTTATAGTAGCAGCTGTTATCTCAAAATCCCAGTATGTACTAAGGTACTCTTTTAAAAGTTAGAATATGCAATTATTGTGCAGATAACAATTAGCCACAATCATCTGTATATCGATGTATGTTTTACAGGAAATCCTGACATTATTGCATAGAATTATCATTTACACTTCAAAGTTAAATTACTGGAATATTCCATTGTCTAAGAGCATTCAACTCTTGGCAGAACAATTTAGTAAAAAGTACAATTAAGCAAGCAAATAAAAAATACTTTGAAACTCACTTCAATTGGAAGGTAAAGTGAAAATAATGGAAGTAGTAGGCTTGGAAAAATCCAGCTATTTTAGATCAGAACATGACTCACTTATCTATGCAAATGGCTAAACAATATGTGAGATGATGGAGGTAGTTCATGCCAGTTCCTTACATAAACAACTGAACTACAACATGCCACTATTATGTTCTTATTGTTTCTTAGTTTATTGTACCAAACTGTATTTTTTAAAGCAAAAAGTAAATAAACTTTATTCTTAGAAAGTTGGGGAGGGGGCCAGGTATGGTGGCTCACGCCTGTAATCCCAGCTACTCATGAGGCTGAGGCAAGGAGAATCGCTTGAATCCAGGAGGTGAAGATTGCAGTGAGCCAAAATCATGCCATTGCACTCCAGCCATGGCAACACAGTGAGATTCTATCTCAAAAAAAAAAAAAATTGTAGGGGGACAGCTCAATCTTGCCCATGATTATGTCAAAATTTCTTTGAAAATTTAAATTTTGCTCAAAAATTTATTTAGATTTTCCTTCCACATTATGTCTCTGTGCTAATCTTTAAATAATGTTCTAACAAGGAAAAACTCTTATTCATCACATCAGTTAAAGAAAGATGGTCTTCCATTTTCTTATTGATTCTGAAAAACTGATATAAAATAACGAAAGCAGACACTGTACACTCAGGTAGTATCTCTTCTCTATCTTGGTGTCACAATAGTTGCTGGGTTTGGTTTTATTTTAAGGAAATCAGTGCGGCAAAAGTACTTTATGTTATCAGGGTAATTACTCTAAAGAGACATGCAAATCATCTGGTAGCATTTTCAGACATGCTAATTGTTTCTAGGGCTGCTGTAACAAATTACTTCAAACCTTGGGTCTTAAGAGAAACTTAGCGCCTCATAATTCTGGAGGCTAGATGTCTGAAATCAAGTTGCCAGAAGAGCCACATTCCCACTAATGGCTCAAGGGGAGAAACTTTCCTTGCCTCTTCCAATTTCTGGTGACTCCCAGCATCCCTTAACTTGTGGCAGCATCACTCCACGCTCTGCCTCCATCTTCACATGGCCTTCCGTGTATCCCTGGGTATACCTCTGTCTCTTAGACGTGGATTTAGTGGATTTAGGGCCGCCCCTAATCCAGCATGAACTCATCTTAATCCTTACTTTACATCTACAAAATCCCCATTTCCAAATAAAGTCACATTCTGACATTCCAAGTAGACATAAATTTGGGGAGTCATTATGAAATGTAGTTTACTAATGAAGAGAATGGGCCTTGGCTTCAGACAAATTTGAGTTCAAAAACCCAAGTCTGTGCCTTTCTAACTCTGTGACCTTAGCAAATCATACATCTCTGGACTTCAAAGTTTGTCCTCATAGATAAAATATAATGAGGTTACATTCAACACTGGGAATATTAATTGTGCTCTGTTCAAGTATTTCAATGTGGTTTTAAATATGCCTAATAACATACCTAAAGAGTGGGTATAAATCAAGAAGTGGAAAAGGAATGACTCTTCATATTGATTCTTAATAAGATATTCTGAGCAGTTTAATGTTTAAAATTGTGACATTTTTATTCTGAGATAATATAGATAGGCTAAAACAGATAGTGAATGTATTACTGAAATATACCTCTTAAAGGAACCAACTGAAAAAATAAAACATAATAATTAGTGGCATAAACCAGGTTCTTAAAAACTGTTTCAAACTCATTTCAAATCCTGTTGTGAATACATTTCCTCTCAATAATAACCAGTATAAAATGGTAGTAACTTACATTCACTGTTTTAAACTGAATTGTGCCCCTAAAAAATTTAAATGTTAAAGTCCTAACCCCGGATACCTCAGGATGTGAGAGCATTTGGAAATGGAGCCATTTAGAAAGTACTTAAGTTCAACCAGGCACAGTGGCTCACGCCTTAATCCCACACTTTCGGAGGCCAAGGTAGGTGGATCACCTGAGGCAGGAGTTCAAGACCAGCTTGGCCAACATGGTGAAACCCCGTCTCTACTAAATATACAAAAATTAGCTGGGTGTGGTGGTGGATGCCTCTAATCCTAGCTACTCAAGAGGCTGTGGCAAGAGAATCGCTTGAACCCAGGAGGCAAAGTTTGCAGTGAGCCAAGATTACGCCATTGCATTCTAGCCGGGGCACAAGAGTGACACTCCATCTCAAAAAATAAATAATAAATAATAAAGAAAGAAAGTTTATAAGTTCAGATGAATATGTTAGGATGGGTGCTAACCCGTTATGACTGGTGTGCTTATAAGAATAAAAAATTTGGACACAAATATACACACAGGCAAGACCATGTGAATACACAGGGAGAAGGCAGCCCTGTGTGGCAAGGAGAGAGGACTCTGGAAAGGAATCAGCCCTTCCAACACTTTGATACCGACTTCTAGCCTTCAAAACTATGAGAAAATAAATTTCTGTTGTTTAAGCCACCTGGTCTTTGGTGCTTTTTGGGGGAGGCAACCTTAGCAAAATCATACACTCACCATTCATTTTTGTGTACCACACTGAATCTAATCATATTCAAATTTTTTTAAATCAAGAATAAACATGTCATTGTCTGCTGACTACCCTATGTGAATACACTCTCTAGATTGGCATGTAAGCACAAACTGCACACATAGCTGGTGCTTCACTGAGTCTAACTTGCTTCCCAGAACAAAAGGAATGTTGCCTTGCAGATAAATCTAGGACCCCACCTATTAGAATCTAGAATACTAGCCTCTGCTTTCATTATTTTTTTTCTGTCTTTGTTCACTAAAATTCAGAAAAATCTCTAGGTCTAATATCATGCAGGGTCACCCTATTACAATACTATGGGGTTTCAGAGAAAGGAGAGCTCACATCGAGTCAGGGGATAGGAAATATTCATTAGAGGGTGGCATTCAAACCATACTTCTTTTTTTTTTTCCTTATGGGAAAGTGCAAACACAGTCTTTCACTACCACAAATTATGCAGTTGAGTTTCCCACATTTGGGAAAATCACAGGGGTGACCACATCTAGAGTGCAATGAATAAGCCTCACCCTGGGAAACCCACCTTCGTGATCATTTTATCTCCCCTGCCAGATAAGTATCAAACCATACTTCTAAAGATGAGAGGGATAGGCAGTAATTAACAGGTAGTATATTTTAGTTGTAAATAAAAGATTAAGAAAATCAGTGAAGTCTGGAAATTTTGGTATGAAAAATGGTTTCATATTATTAAAGCATGTATATGGGTAGGGGGGTGGTTCTTTTTTTTTTTTTTTTTTTTTTTTTTTTTTAGGCGGAGTTTCGCTCTTATTACCCAGGCTGGAGTTCAATGGCGCGATCTCGGCTCACCGCAACCTCCGCCTCCTGGGATCAGGCAATTCTCCTGCCTCAGCCTCCCAAGTAGCTGGAATTACAGGCACGCGCCACCATGCCCAGCTAAGTTTTTGTATTTGTAGTAGAGACGGGGTTTCACCATGTTGACCAGGATGGTCTTGATCTCTTGACCTCGTGATCCACCCGCCTCGGCCTCCCAAAGTGCTTGGATTACAGGCTTGAGCCACCGCACCCAGGCTGGGTGGTTCTTAAAGACTTTAAAAAGTATTCTAGAAACAAGTTATTGAAGATTATTGTAAGGTTAAAAAATTTGGATATTAGCCCAAAGAACAAATGTATTTCAAGTCACCTGGGATATTTGTTAAAAATAGTTTCCTGAGCCCCATTTATGAATAAAGAAATCAGAATCTCTGCCAGCAGGCCTCCAGAATGTGCATTTATAGCTAGCTTCCCAGATGCTGCATATCACACTAAAATTTGAGAACTACTGTAGTAGACATTAAATGGCCCTGTGAATTTTGGAGCAAAGAATGACCAAATTAGATCTACACTTTAGGATGAGTAACCTAATAAGAATAGATATTCAAGAAAAGTTAGAGATGGTTTAAGAAGTTGATGCACCAGTCAAGGCAAGAGACAATGAAAGTTGAGATATAAGTGGATATAAAGGGATTTTTATCTTACGATGTAAAAAATATGACAAAGATAGGAATGTCTAATTTAACAACTCATATGTAAGAGGATGCGATAAAGAAGTATCAAGGAAGACTGTGATGGTTAGTATAAAGTGTCATTTGATCAGACTGAAGGATGCAAATTATTGTTCCTGGGTATGTCTGTGAGGCTGTTGCCAAAGGAGATTAACATTTGAGTCAGTGGTCTGGCAGAGGCAGACCCACCCTCAATCTGGGTGGGCACCATCTAATCAGCAGCCAGGATGGCTAGAATAAAGCAATCAGAAGAACGTGGAAGGACTTCACTTGCTGAAGCTTCTGGCCTTCATCTTTCTCCCATGATGGATGCTTCCTATTCTTGAACATTGGACTCCAAGTTCTTTAGCTTTTGGACTCTTGGACTTACGTCAGTGGTTTGCCAGGGGCTCTCAGGCCATCAGCCACAGACTGAAGCCTGCACTGTTGGCTTCCCTACTTTTGAGGTTTCGGGACTCAGACTGGTTTCCTTGCTCCTCAGTTTGCAAACAGCCTATTGTGGGACTTCACATTGTGAACATGTGAGTCAACACTCCTTAATAAATTCCCCTTTATATATACATCATCCTATTAGTTCTGTCCCTCTAGAGAACACGGGCTAATATAAAGACTAAGGATTAAGTTGTGGTAGGGTTAATGAGAGATAGGGAAATCATAAGAAAAAACCTGTTGAGCATTTAAGTGGGAGTACATGATGAATTCAGAATGAGACATGTTGAATTTTGATATTCTGGTAGGACACCCAAAGCAAGACATTCAGCCAGCAGTATAAAATATAACATGGACTCTAAGAGTGATGTTTGAGCTGAAAATACTAATTCAACATTTATCTGGAAAATAATGACTGAAGCAAGATGAATAGATAACACTTGACTCTTATCTATCCAACATAGACCACAGGAGAAAGTCACACAAAACCAGTGAATTTAATGAGAAATTATAAGAATTTTAAATTGAAATTTTGTGATGATATTTCTTACATTGTTAAGTTTGTAATAGTTTACATTATGATCAGTACCTAAAATTACATTCTCTGGGCCTTAGGTTTACTTTTACAACTAAAAACAAACAGCTCTTACAATGTAATTGTAATGAAAACATAAGTACTTTTATTGTAAAATTGAGTACAGTAACAGCTAAAGAATTGTGTCACTGGGGTCATCCTGGTCCTTACTGTTTTCAGTATCTTCTGTATTTACCTTTGCAAATTCTCATTTTTCTTCATATGGTGTCCATTGGTTGTAAACTCTCTGAATCTTTTCATTTTGACAACCTATCCTACCATGACTTGATTGTTTGGTTACAGATTCAAAATTTGAAACAATTTTTATCTCAAGGTTGGAAAGATCTCAAGCTAGGAAAGAAGATTGATGAGCTCCTGATGCTGATACTTACTACTTTGTAATAATCTTGTTCTGTTTGTCTCTGAAAGCTTCTAGAATTTCCTTTTTATCCTTAGGAGTTTAAATCATTATCAAAATGATCTAGATTTTATTTTTCTTCTTGGCTCTTAGGGGACCCTTTCAATTTAAAGAAATCTATCTTCAGATCAAAAAAACATGGTCTTCTATTATTTTTTCCTTTCCACTCCCTCAAGAGCATCTATATGTGATTTCTATGAATGCTGTACCTACTAAATCTACCATGTCCCTTAACTTTTCCATCATGCTTCTCATTTATTTATTATTTATCTCTTTCTGTGACTTTATTTTTCAGATTGCCAATCTTTTTTTCAACTACGTTCTTTCTAATATTTAGCACGTATACTGAATATTCAAATTTCTAAGAACTCTTTTGTATCTTCTACTTGCTCTTTTTTTATAGTATTCATCTTTGTTTTATGGATCCAACTTCTTTATACTTCTGAAGACCCTAACTAGAATTAAATTTTTTTTAAAATTCTCTTGTCTTACCTAAATTGTTTCTTTTTTATCCAGATGTTGGTTGTTCTGTCTGTTTGTCTTGATCTGTCTCTTCCATTCTATTCTTTTCCTCCTGTGTGAGTTACATCTGTGAGTCTTGTTTCCCTAATAAATCCTTTTGAAGAGGAGAGTAGGTTTCATAGAAAGGCATGACACAGGCAGACATCCCCGTAAGATAGGTAGCCTGGGAACAGACCAACAGGCAGACAAGGCTATCATTCGACAAAATAAAGAGGGGTTTACTCTGAAGTCAAAGTGCTTTAGACTTTTGTACCCATGGATGCACCACCCTAATCTTTTAATTTTCCTCTGTATTATTTTGAAGGACCCCAAGATCTACTCTACTTCTTTCTCAGGATCCACCAAAACCAGAAACCCGCCTCAGGACCCACTCCATTTCTTTAAAAAATATGGTATTTAGTCTATTACCTGAACCAGAACCTCTGAATTAGTGTTTTAAATATTTTCCACCTTCTTTTAGCTAGCAGTCGTAATTATTAAAGTTAAATAAAATTGTGATATTGTGCCTTACATTCAGTATCAACAACAAAATTACCTTGCTTTCTTTTGAGAGACTTTATTTTTTAGAGTAGTTTCAGATATATAAAAAAAAAATTGAGAGGAAAGCACATAAAGTTCTAATATGCAATCTCGCCCTCTGATATACACAAACTTCCCACTATTAACATCACGCATTAATGAGGTACATTTTACGATTGATGACCATCACATTGCATTGTTACAGCACTTTGTTTTTTATAAAAACCTTTAGATAGCTCATTTAATCATCAGATAGTAGGTGTCCAATAAATATTTTTGAATCATTGAATGAAATTAAGCAGCTGCATATGAGCTGCAATTGGTTGTAATTAAATCATATGGCAGAAGAAAAGTATTAAAATAACTATACTTTTTAGTTTCAGCACCTATCATTTGCTAAATTATGTCTTCCAGACTACTAACTATTACTTGGTGTCTTCATGTGGTTGAGCTGCTTCACTGGAGTTAGCATTTGATATCTAAAATTTTCCCTCCCTCTGGCTCATCAGGCAACATGACTATCTAAACTATGCAAATAAACACAATAAAGCAAATGCTTGAAATTATTCTTTATCAAAGTATTGTTTCTACAACCCCTTTAGTTGTAGTAACCTTCTGGCCCAACTTACGAAACCTGGTTTTTCAAAAAAACATGCTTTTCTTCTTACCCACATTTGAATCATCTAAAACATTGCTTTTGAGTCCCCACCCCATGCTAGGAAGAAAATTTATCCTAACCATCAAATATTTATGGTAAAGGATATGGTTTGGCTTTGTCCCCAACCAAATCTCATCTTTAATTGTAGCTCTCATAATTCCCATGTGTTGTGGGAGGGACCCAATTGTAGATAACTGAATCATGGGGCAGTTTCTTCCATACTGTTCTCATGGTACTAAATAAGTCTCACGAGATCTGATTGTTTTATAAGGGGTTTCACCTTTTTCTTGGCTCTCGTTTTCCTCTCTTCTTTTTTTCTTTCTTTCTTTCTTTCTTTTTTTTTTTTTTTTTTTTTTGTTTTGGTGAAGTCTTGATCTGTCTCCCAGCCTGAAGTGCAGTGCTGTGCATGATCTCGATTCACTGCAATCTCCACCTCCTGGGTTCAAGTAATTCTCCTGTCTCAGCCTCCTGAGTATCTGAGATTACAAACACCCACCACCATGCCTGGCTAATTTATTTTTGTACTTTCAGTAGAGACAGGGTTTCACCATGTTGGCCAGGCTGTTCTTGAACTCCTGACCTCAGGTGATCTACCCACCTCAGCTTCCCAAAGTGCTGGGATTACAGGCATGAGTCACCATGCCCATTCTTCCCTTTTCTGCCACCATGTAAGACAGGACTTTTGCCTTCTGCCATGATTATGAGGCCTCCCCAGCCATGTGGAACTCTGAATCCATTAAACCTCTTTTTCTTTATAAATTACATAGTCTCCATTATGTCTTTATTAGCAGCATGAATACGGACTAATGCTAATAATCTTTCTAATAAGATTAGGAAGTTGCCAGAGGAAGAAAATGCTCAAATGCTGTAAGATAGATAAGATGTCTTATACTACATAAATCCTCAACAACAACCAAAAATAGCCTCAGTGATTTGTA